CCTAGGGTGGTGGGATGTTTTTTTCCATCTGTGTGAAGAATAATTTTTTTGTCATTTGCTCTGAGACATGTGCAGATGTGCATCAATAGAAACATGCTGCCAGATGTGGGCTCTGTGAGCACTCTGCTAATCAGATGGGTGGCATTTGAATCTCTCTACTCGGTGGCCACCCAAACAGTCAGCTTACAGGGAACACTGGCACTGGGCTGGTGGGATGTTTTTTTCCATCTGTGTGAAGAATAATTTTTTTGTCATTTGCTCTGAGACATGTGCAGATGTGCATCAATAGAAACATGCTGCCAGATGTGGGCTCTGTGAGCACTCTGCTAATCAGATGGGTGGCATTTGAATCTCTCTACTCGGTGGCCACCCAAACAGTCAGCTTACAGGGAACACTGGCACTGGGCTAAGAGAATTCCTTCAACCTGGGACCCTGGGGTGCAGACTCTAAAGCCCTTTTCTTAATTCAGCCCTGCTGCTGAAGCCAGAAGAGAATACCTCCAGCTGTGGCAGCTCCCTGCTGGGGCCAGAGGTGTGCACCTCTCCTCTAGCCTCAGCAGGGAGCTGCCTTGAACAGGAGAGAGGGGCCTTTGCCTTGACCACAGCAGCTCCATGCGCAGCAGCGCTAAATCTTAAGCTTAAGCTTAAAAGGACCCTGGTACGAGACTTCTCCATTCACCAATTCCAAACTGATGTCCCCAGCTTTTGGGGACCACTTGACATCCTTTTACCTAGTTTGGAATGATATTGCCACAGACAAATGAGCCCTAGAAATTATTCAGCGGGGTTATTCTATTCCTTTTATTTCTATTTCTCCCATCTTTCCCCCTTTCCAGTCCATTTTCAGGGACCCCTCTCCTGAGCTTCTCCTACAATAGGAGATAAACCGTCTCCTGGAATTAGGAGCCATAGAACTAGTACCACCTCCTCAATACAGGGGAACAGGGTTCTGTTCCTTTTATTTCTATACAGAAAAAGAATGGGAGTGGTAGTGATCCATTCTAGATCTACACAAGCTCAATTAGTTTGTACATACCCAGCATTTCAAAATGGCAGCCCTCACAACCATAATTCCAGCAGAGGAGAAAGGAGATTGTCTTGTCCCTCAATCTTCAGGATGCTTATTTTCCCATCACAATGTATCCTGCGCACAGTTTCTTTGTTTTACACTATGCCATCAGCTCTACTAGTATAGAGTCCTATCTTTCAGCTTATCAACAGCCCCAAACGTGTTTTCCAAGGTACGTGCCATTGCTGCAGCTCACCTTTGCAGACTCAGCATCATTATTTTCTCATACCTGGATGACTGTCTCATACACACTAAACCAGCCATCAGCACTTCAGGCAATGCAACACAAAGTAAACCTTTTTAACAACCTGAGTTTCCAAATAAACTTCCAGACGTTCCAATGGTTGGCCTATCTTAACTGCCTTGCTATCTCAACAATGATATCTCAATATCCTACCCTAATTGCTACCATCGAAGACAGCCTTCAAGTATCTTCCTGGACATGTCTACGGATCCAGATAACACGTGGTCAAACATGCCAGGCTTCATATGAGGTACCTATAGATCTGGCTCTGCATCTGCTACCCACCACACAGGCACTCCCTTTTCAAATAACTTACTATGGAAAAGCCTCCCCCTCCAGTGGTGGCTGCAATCACACAATATTATGCTCCAGCATCCCATGCCAAAGATGAGCCCCTGCTGCCACTATTACAACAGGTGTTTTTTCTTGGGGTGGGTGCTCAATTAGGCAACAATACTATCCAGGGATGTTGGTTTCCAGCAGAAACAACCTTACATAAGCATTTTAGAACTCAAGACAGTCAGAAAAGCATGTAAGCACCCACTTGGCTGGGACAAACATAGTTTGCCTATCTGACACTGATGGTGGAAGCAGTACCCCTAATTCTGCTGCTACTGTCCCACTTTCTCACAAAGGATGTGGGTTATGTCCATTTCAAGGCCTGGCTACTACATGGATAGAGGACATTGATGCTGGCTATTCCAAGGAGGTGAAAAATATCCTTGTGAATAGCTGTCAGCCAAATACATGCAAAGTACACTTAGAAATGGCTCCGATTTGTCTCCTGGTGCAAGGCTCAAGGCACGTCTCCTCACTACACTCCTTTACCCATGGTCCTAGTCTAGCTCTTAAGTCTAAAATAAAATAAAACCAGGCCTTTCCAACAGCTCCATAAAGGTGCATTTAGCCACAGTCACCTCATTGCATGACAAGGTGGACAGCATCTCCATCTTCAACCACTCCACTACCAAGTACTTTCTTAAAGGTTTAACCAATCCCCACGCAGGACTTAACCCTGTACTCTGTACTTTTCTGGCTAAACCATTTGAACTCCTAGTGACATGTTCTTTCCTGCACTTGTCTATGAAAGTCACTTTCCCCAACCATCACATTGGTGCGGAGGGTGGGAGAGTTAGGAGCACTACTGGTTCATCTATCCTATAGCATATTTCATAAGGATAAAGTAATCCTATGCCCTACCTCAAAGTCATAAATGAAGTGGCCTCTCCTTTTCACCTGAACTACTAACCCATATACTTAGTGGTGTTTTTTCACAAACCACATACTAATACCAGGGAGGCCTCTCTTCACACGTTCAGTGTACAAAGAGCTCTCTCCTTCTACCTGGAAAGAAAAAAAAAACCATTTGGAAAGTCCCCACATCTCTTTCTGTCTACCACCAAGTGATTGAGGGGCAAGGCCCACTCTAAACAGAGACTATCAAAATGGATTTCTGGCTGTTACCAAGAGAACGTTGTCCCTGTTCCACTGCCACAGCTCATTCCACCAGAGCTCTCTCAGCCTCCACAGTGTTTCTTAACTACATGCCCATAGTAAACACTTGTAGGGCTGTTACTTAGGTTTCCACTCACACTTTCACCAAGCACTATGCCCTAGAATTGGATTCTGCTACCCGCACTTAGTTCGTATCTTCAGTCCTATCTACTGTCTATAGCAGGGGTGAGGAACCTCTTTTGGCTCAGGGGCCGCTGACACACAGAAAAATGAGTCAGGCACTACACACAAGTAAGAAGGGGGAAAAAGCCACATGCTCACTGACGTGGCCCCTGACTGAGAAGGAAAAACACTCCCCATATTCCCCTTGCACACTAGAGCCTAGTAGATTTTGGGTGCTGCAGCCCCAAGGTGGGGCAGAGGGAGGTTAGATCTCCAGTGTGGGTTCCCCAATGCTGGTGGGGGGGCGGGGGATCATGAGGCTTGGGAGCTGGATCCAGGCAAGCAGGGGGTCCTGAGGTTCCCCGTCCCTGGTCTAGAGTCATCTGAAGCTCTTCCTTTGAGGGGCTCTGCTCCATAGTCACCTAAGGTGGAGCACCCACAGGGACACTCCTAGAAGAAGAGGTTACTCACCTTGTGCAGTAGCTGACATGCTTTGAAATGATTGTGCCTGTAGGCGCTCTATCCACGTTCCGCCCTCCCCCTTGGTTTGGAGCTCACATTGATCCTTTCAGACAGAGAAGGAACTGAGGGGTTGGTTGACTGCACAAGAGGTAGCACCTCACAGCCATATAAGATGGCCTGCATGCACGTGCAGCCAATAAGGGCACTGCTACCACAGATCTCCTATTAGATGTGCAAGGCATCAAGACATTTAAGGTGGAGCACCCATAAGGACAACCATCCAAAGTGAGCTTCAGGGGATAGCCGAGTTAGTCAGTTACAGAAAAAAAACAACAAATGGTCTGGTAGCACTTTATAGACTAACAAAGTTAGCACCCAAAATCTACTAAACTTTGTTAGTCTATAAAGTGCTACCAGACTATTTGTTGTTTTCATCCAAAGTAAGTTACCTCTTATGAATTCACAGAAAGAAAAATCTGTTAATACAATAGCACATGTTGAGAAAAATCTCCAGGGGCCTTATTTTTATGACCACACATTCTGGCTGTGTCTACACTGGGCCCCTTATTCTGGAAAATCAGCCGCTTTTCCGGAATAAGCTGCGAGCTGTCTACACTGGCCCTTGAATTTCCGGAAAAGCAACGATGCTCTACTGTACAAAATCAGCCACTATTCCGGAAAAACTATTCTGCTCCCGCTCGGGCATAAGTCCTTATTCCGGAACACTGTTCCAGAAAAGGGCCAGTGTAGACAGCCCAGTAGTCTTTTCCGGAAAAAAGCCCCGATTGCGAAAATGGCGATCGGGGCTCTTTTCCTGAAAAGCGCGTCTACATTGGCCACAGACGCTTTTCCGGAAAAAGGGCTTTTCCGGAAAAGCAGCCTGCCAATGTAGACGCTCCTTTTCCGGAAAAACTGAAAACGGAATAGTATTCCATTTTAAGCATTTCCAGAAATTCATGCCAGTGTAGACACAGCCTCTAGCTATTAAATACATATTGTTTAGCTATTTTAAATATTTGTATTTTCTGGTTTTTAATGTTTAGTCCTTTATAATATAGTGAAATGCTGAGTCTGAGTTACTCTAGAATTTCCAATAAATCTTCTAGAAAGTTAAATGAAAATGTTGAGGCAAATTCTTCTCTTGGTTACACAAGCATAAATCCAAGGTTACCCTCAGTTTATCTTGGTATACACTTGTGTGATAGGGAACAGAAATAGCAGGATTATATATATACTTTGGCAATATTAAATATCTTGTTTGCAACTGTGGGACATCTAGCACTAGGTTAAAGAGTGGGATGGGATTGCTTGTTGATACATTTAACAGTGGTTAATATTTCCTTAAGCTATCCAAGGCAAAAAATCTGAACCCTATCACCATTAGTAAAGATTAATAATTAATTGCATGTGCTACAAAATAACCAGTGTTCTATGTGGGATCTATATTTTGCATTCAAATGATGTTTTATAGTATTTTCGGTGTGTGGTTATAGCTCCATAATCCATTACTTTTTCCTCTAAGGCTGGACATCTCAGTCAGAATTTGTGCAATCTCTTATCCACTTGGTGCCTGGTAACCAACCATTTCCTTCACACAGCACTCCAAAGCAATCACCACGATGTAAGTTATTTCTGTATCTTTGCAGCAGCAATGTTTCTTCATAAGCAATGTTTCATACCTACTAGTTTTGGCTTATTATTCAAAACAGAATAATTTGCTGGTAAGAGACAAGATAACTCTGAAAGTGATTTTTTGTCATCATCTCTCAGCACTGATTATTAAAATTGAAACAGAAAATTACTTTAGCACATGGATCTGTGAACACTATTCTTTCTATGTTTTCTTTCAAGATGCTAGTACAGGCAGTCCCCGGGTTACGTACAAGATAGGGACTGTAGGTTTGTTCTTAAGTTGAATCTGTATGTAAGTCGGAACTGACGTCCAGATTCAGCCGCTGCTGAAACTGACCGCCAGTTCTGACTTACATACAGATTCAACTTAAGAACCCCAAGTCAGCTGCTGCTGAAACTGATCAGTGGCTGATTCCAGGAAGCCTGGGGCAGAGCAACTCTGCC